TATGTTTCTCTGATCCTGTACATCGGGACCAGTGGGGTCTAATTATCACCGACTGGACACTAGCAGGAGCGAGCCTCCATCTCTAAAGCGCGGTTGACGTGCAGGCCTGCCCGCGCGTCGTACGCCCGTCCGCCGGCGGTTCCGGCGTCCCGACGAAAGCGCTCCTACCAAGCAGAGCGCTATACAACTCTGGGGAATCAAACCCGCATTTCACCCTTCACGTAGGCGCGCGCTAACCAACTGCATACCAAAGCCTGTCTTTCCACCACTCTTTCTACGTTACAACGCATCAATCTCGCTCTACATTTACTCTGTTTGTTCCAGTCGCATTCATTCCTCACTGAGGATTTCGTCTTCCCTGTCGTAGAATGCTGGTCGAGGCGACTCTCTTTGCGTGAGTGCCGAGTCAAGGCTTTCGCTGACTGACTGGAGTGGAGTGTTGGAGGAGGGAATTGAACCCGGTGCCAGCTTATCACCTCGTTTTCTGATACGTTGTCTCACTATATACTGCGCTATCCCGCCGCTATACCCCACAGCATCACTCATTAGAATTGAAGTGTATTCAAACTTTGGATTCCTATGGTGTTAATAAAAAACTGAGCACTTCGGCATGGTGGTCCTTTTGAAGGATATGCGCGAAGCAGAAGAAAGCGATGAAGTCTCGGGTACGCAGAATCAGGTACTTTGTGGTTATAGGGGGACAAATTGAAAACCGGCCTCATCCGCTGGGAGAGGAACTTTCAAAGGAGGGTTAGTAACCATTCGAAAGCTGAGACTTCAGGCTACAGCCCCACTTCGCCGAACACTCTTCTGACGCTGCTACAGAAGGAGATTTCCTGCCTTGTAGACGAGCATGTTTCTCGCCGGACAGGGCTACACTTCTTTGGACTATCGGTAATCATTCGATCAAAAAAAGAGCTCTGTCCGGCGAGGAACACGCGAGTCTGGGGTTAGCTTTATTTTGTATTTTACAACGTTACAAGAGGGTGTTTTGAGGGACCGGCGACGTAAGGCTGTAGCCTAAAGTCTTAGCTTTCAAATGATTACTAACACTACTATGGAAAGTTCCTCGCCAGCAAATTGGGGTCGGTTTTTCTTTTCGTCCCTTATAATAGCAAAGAACCAAGAATCACACTGTCAAAAACTGGAGGGTTCGAGGACAGAGACATTCTTTGGTGACAGAGTGGCTTGCAGAGCGACTGCTCCGGTAGTGTAGTGATAGCGTGCGCACTCCGTCAGGGTGAAACGCGGGTTCAACTCCCGCCTGAGGTTTGGGAATTCTAATATCACTCAGTATCCTTGGGACGAAATTACGACATCACTAGAACACTGCTACAAACGGAGTAAAATCGGGAATTTGTCAGGTAGTGGTTTCTCGCGCAGAATCCTCCGAATTTTAAACCCGTTGAATTTGAAATTTCCAAAATTAAACCCTAAAAACACAAAGCAAAGGAAACTCGTGATGTGAGGATTAAACGATCAATAAAATCAATAATGAGAGAAAACGTCGTTGAGAAGAGGTTAGCGGCGCTCTTCCTAGGAGATATCGATTCGTGGAGGCTGTGAGGCTGTAATAAGCTTGCGCGGCCATTCCTGCGCGACGACGCGTGCGACGCGGCATGCGGCGGGTTTAAACGGCAATTTTGTGCTCTGAAACATGTGATCTACCAGGGGGTTTGTTTGGAAATTTGTAATATTTGAGGACAAAATCGTAAATGAAAACGCTTAGCATGCAAGACCCCTAGCTCAGTACCTATGGTTATCTTGCAATCGTTGCTATCCAATCTAGGAGAGAGCTCTTAGGGTTAGTCAACAGGTCTTAGGGTTGATGATGATCCCTGGCGGATGCACCACGCAGCATTCGACTTCATCGAGCGTCGCCTGAGATCTGAGGCCCTTAGAATGACTCACCGCCATGACTCGCGGTGGCCCAGCGACGAGTCAAGTCAGCGCTGCAAAGGGGCAACGCTTGGCGGGCACTCGGGCGCGGAATCGTAACATCGACCACGTGTGTGTGTGTGTGCACAGGGCACCCTAACCACTGCGCTGTACAGGTGCCTAACATGTCGATGGATTGAATGAAGTGCTCTGGCACAATTAGTCAATAGTCGCGGGTTCGAATCCTCATCATGCCGTGCAGCGGCAGTGGACGAGTTTACACAAGTCGATGAGCACTTTGCGATTGGAGCGCGATTTTTTTAGCCGGACATATCTGCCTGTCACTTCTGAATGGGAGATGACCCTTCACAGTCTTCGACGGATGCCACCACGACAACCCCAAAGAAAGATCCTAACAGGAGCCGTATCGATCAGTTTTTCAAGAGAGTAGGTCAAAAAGCTGCTGCTGAAGTCGGGCGATAAGATCTTCGTCCCGTCCGCGAACGTGGCACCATCAGGTTGGTCAGCCTTTTCTGGTCATTTGCTTTTTTTTCAAGCTAATCTCTTCCATCAGACGGCTTTTGTTTGTTTTTTTAATCATTTCCTTCTAGTATTTTTTCGATGTATGCCCTGATTGATGTTCGATTGTAAGTTGTTTCGATTTCTAAAATTTGTCAACCTTTCGAACATGGACCCAACCCTCTGCGTCTCTAACCTCCCAGCGTGTTACGTCTAGCCCTAGCGTCTAACGCCCATCAGGTTGCGTGTACAAAAGGCATCGTACTCCAGCGTGCCATTGTTAGACGCCAGCACGCTCCATTGTTAGACGCAACACGGTCCATTGTTAGACGCTACTCGCTTGGGGTAGAGACGCAGAGAGTTGGGTCCACGGTACCGAAAAGATTTATAGAGGGACGCTAATTCATTTATGAGGAGGTTTCATTTTTACAGTTTTTCTACCTATATCTAACTATCGGTACTATCGATATGAATTTCTTTTGATATTAGATGCACTTGAAGATTTGTTTCGAGGACCGAGTTTTTTTGATCTCGACATTACTTACCTACTTGGACACTTGGACTATCGCTCTTCACGAATTGTGCGGACCCCAGCAGAAGGAAGACTTACTGATTTAGCTGTTTCGTTCCCCCGAGTCCCGAGGTAAGCCCCAGTCCGGGCTTCTTCAGGTCGTCACCAGATTGCAGCAGTCGCCGGCCCTTGTGGAATAGAGGGAAATTAGCGCCTTGCGACTATTAGATACCAAAACGGTGGTCATTCCTGCTACGGTTACTCTTAGCTGAGCTTTTCGAGTGGAAACGTCAAACTCCTTCCCGGCTGGGGTGGCCCTGAGGGGTTTGACCCCTGCTGTACTTCGCAGTCTTACATCCAGGAATACCTCCTAGGCCACGATGAGGCGGTACATCATTTGGGAGGAACCTTGACATTATCAATTACTTATATGTGCCTCCTCGGCTAAGCCAATAACACGAAGTGATTTTTAGGGAATTTCCTCAAAATTGAGAGAAAAAAAGCTAGGGAATTTATCCAACGGTGTTGACTAATGACCAAAATTTTGACGTCAGACGGAACTCGGACCCGCATTTCAGCCTTCGGGCGTCGATAGTGCAATTGGGTAGAGCACGCGCCTCAGGAGAGAGTGAAATGCGGGTTTGAATCCCGCCTGAATCAAAGATTTGCACATCACATGATAACGTTGGATATATTTGTAACATTAGAGTGTTTTTGATTCTACATCGGCCTTACGCCATTGGCTTAACCGGTTAACCTCCCGGACCCGAGCTGGGCGTGTCCGCCAACGTGGGAACGACTCCAGCTCCTCTGCGCCGATCAGTCGCTGACCAAGTTCTATATTTCGTAGCAGGACCACTCGGGAATTAGTTCAAAACATAGCCGCGATCTTGCAACGAAAATATTGCTATAGTCGGCGAGTAATAGGGGCAGATGAAGTGGAGTCGTTTCCACACTAACGGACACTCCTGATTTGGGTTCATGGAAGTCAACCGCTTAACCAACAAAATAGCCATGCGCGACAACTTATTTTTGGCTTTCTTTTCGTTCTTCCCTTCTTTTGAACTTCAAGTGAAGTCTTTAAACATCTACTCTTTTCCATGCTCTGGATTTATCCACCTGTCAGCCTCATTGTTTTGTTAGACAATTCTTGCACTAGCGTCATTCTTTGTTGGAGCTAATCGTATAGAAGAGTACTAAAAAATAGTGCCAAATTATATATCGAAGTCATAGCTAGACATATTTCGCTAAACTTTTCGTCTATGTGAAGCAAATATCTTTGTAGGTTTTTTTTTTCAACTTGATTGCTATGATCAGGTCCTTCCTGTGTGTCGAACATCACAATCTACGGATGGCGGCCAGCTAACTTCGAATCATGACGATGACCTCCATCAAAGGAAAACCAGCGCTCCAGCAAGTGGTGAGTGATTTCGTGGATCACGAGACTTTCTTTTTTCCAGTGTTCATTGCTCTACAACCAATATGGATGTCGACTCTCTTACTGGATATTTGCAGTCGGAGTAGCCTTGCCAGAGCTTTCCATCAACACGTATGGCGGTGAGGTAGCTGGATCGGGCTACGGATGGATTAACACTCCAGGTGTTGGCGAGTCATATCATGGCGTCGAATCTGTCATCAAAGGTTGCTTTACGGTCGTATACATCTCTTTAGTATTGTCTGGCTTCAGTGCTTCTTTAACTCAGCTTAGCAAATTTCTAAGACTGATTGTCTATCATTTTCGGCATTGTTCACTAGTTCACAGGTTTTTTTTTTAGCTCAACAAATTGGCTTACAAATGGTAAATGACCGAATTGAATGGACGAAGGAGCAGATCGATTCATGTCGCCGTGATGAGCAAATGATTGTGGAGTTTGTAACCGAATCATTCGTAGAAGAGCTAAAAGCGGTGGGAATTCACTTCAAAGTCCAACAGCTGTATCACCCATTTGTTTATTGTTTATTTTAGATTTGGGAAAGGTCGAACTATGTGGCTTTACGTGACTCTGTGAAACGTCTTGAAGACGAAATTGAAGAACTGCGCAGGCGTTCGCCAAAATCTGTTCCTCCTCCAAGTTAGCTTTTGAAGTGATTTTATTTCGTTCTTTACAAATGAATTTCAGATGCTAGGAATGTTAATCTTAACTTGGGAACCAATGCTTACATAGATTCCATATCAACAATCAATCACATATTCTTTGTTGACTAAGCCGATAGCTGGAAGTTGTCAAAAATAGACTCATCCGGCAGTGTGCTAGCCAATGATAACGCCAAGTTCGCAGGATAAATTGCCCGAAGATAGCAAGGCTATATCAGCGAGTGATTAGGTAGTCAGCATACGCTTCATCCTATATATAGGGACTTCATCGAGTGAGGTTCTTCATTCAAGCAGTGCTCTACCGGAGTTCGGCTCGAACGAAACGAAGTCGAACATCCACAATCAGGACTAACGACTGTGTGCAGCTGAGTGGCATTGGCTCTGAAGAAGTCGAACGTTAGCCTATTGAATTTTTTTGTTAATAACTCGTGCTGCAGTTCTAATAACAAAGATTTTCTAGAATCAAGCCAGTAATACGAAGTTAGCGAAAGTAGATCTATTCGGCTATCGTTAGACGTCTTCATTTTCTTCGGAGTCGATAATTCAATGAGTTGCCCATTTGATCGACAACGAAGGCAACGACCACAACGAGGACGAAAGATTGTGTGCAATCGACTCTAATTGTCGCTTTGAAGAAGGCGAAGGCGTCGGGACGTTAATCCAATAAATTTGTTCCAGTCATCTTCGTGGTGTTGGCTCAGTCAACAAGGAATATATGATTGGATGTCGTCCTTATTGATCTCTTCTACTTTTCACTTCATGTTGCCAGCTATTTAGAGCTAAATGCTTTCGTGCATTTTTGTCTGCATTTACCATATATCGACTAGGAGATTGTTTCTTCAGGGCCTGCCCGACCACTTCAGCATTTGACATGGTCATGTGTGCGATGTCTCGAAGAGAATCCCATCACAGTGTATCGCTGTCAGTGTTCGTTTCCTCGACCTGTGATAGATCCACGTGAAGCTTCAAGGTGTAACTGCACGCACTGTAGTGAATTGACAGGTCACCAAAAATTTTCCATTTTACTGCTCTTTTACACTGCTATGCTGTTACAATTCTATTCGCAAGGATGCTGAATGACATGGAAAACTTTCGACCAAAGACGGGAGTTAAACCCTCGTTTTACCCAAACCGAGGGTCTGTGAAACGGGCGTTCAAATCTGGGGTCGGAAGTTTTTAATACCACTCAGCACTCTTCAATAATTGCAGGCAGCGTCTGTTTTGCTGATAAGAGTAGGAAAAGAGATTTGACTATCGAGACAAATTGGTTCAGTTGATATGAACATACTTTTTTTTAGCGAATAGAATGTTTCTTTCTCCAACTCCAGGCGATGGTGATTGGTTGTTAGTTAATAAACTTTCTCCTAATAATGGATCTGCTACATCTCAGTGATTCGACAAGGCTTTTTATTACGGTAGGAGCCATCTGTAAAGCTTATTCATGGCTCTAGTAATGTGTTCTTTACTTTAATCTTGCTGTTACTTGAAAAAACTCGCTCTTATAAGCCTAAGCCAATGAGGTATGAGTCCCATGACAATGCTGACTTATAAAAATATATTATTTGTCTGGTAAAATGAGCATATGCTCACATTTATTGGTTTTTTTTTTGATAAGTAGATGCGAGGTTGTAGACCGGTTGACTTCCGTGGGCCCAAACTGAACGTGTCCGCTAGAGCGGGTCGACTTCACCCTTTCTTGCCCCGATTAGTCGCCGACTACAGTGTTAGTCTTCGTTGCAAGACCGCACGCGAATCAGTCCAAAACTTAGCTGCGGTTCTTGCAGCGTGAAGTGGTATTGTAGCTGGCGAATAATTGGCACAGAGGGGGTGGAGTCGTTTCGACGCTGGCCGACACGACCCAATTTGGGCCCGCGGAAGTCAGCCGCTTAATATCTGACCCGTTTCACAGTTTTTTTTTTAACCGTATGGGTTCTAGTGCTCCTAGCATTCAATTCGTCTCCCCGCTTGTTTGAGGGATTTTTCTTCTTCACGATTGTCGTAGAATACTAGTGGAGAATAGAATACTCGTTGCAATCTCGAGGATAGCCAGGCTGGAGCGTTACGTTGAACCTTCGTTATTGATGGAGAGTGTTAGGGCGATCTGTGATCAAATCGCGTCGAGCATCGCTAGCCGCCGGCAGAACAATTATCAGTACATAATGGTGTAGACATTTTGGTGCTTTTGCCTTATTCAGAGCCTGGAAGAGTCGAATTGGCATGCAATATACTCATCCAAGCACTTTCATAACCACAGCAAATAACTTAATAGATTCAAACACATCATATTTTTACCATCTTTGCAACTCCTCATCATGAAAGGTGTTGACTCATCCAATCTATACCGCGGTTAATTAAAGGCTTACAGGGAGGGAGTGATGCTCGGTGGGGGATTGATTACCCCAACATCTTGCGGCACTCAGACGAAGAACACTTGCCAAAGGGTGCATCGGCCTGAGCATTCTCGAGATTGTAAGATCTGCCCGACTAATATTCTACAACATGTTCATGAAGAAGACGAAGCCTCAAGCAAGTAATAAATGCGAGGAGACGAATTGATTGCTAGAATTACTGGGATCCGCACAATAAATGTGAGGACGGGTCATGTAAAATGAAATAAAGGAGAAGCCGAGGTGGATGGGAAGTCGGTCTGGGAATGGTCAATATTAATGCTAGATTTCCTGATACTAGGTCCACTATAAGGTGAGAAATGAATATTTGACTTCATTCGTTAGAACAAAAACTTTCCATAGGAGTGTTAGTAATCCTTTCGAGAGTTTAAATCTCTGGCTAGCGCGCTATATTGCCGTTTTCAAAGACCGTTTCACGTTATAGAGGAGGAGAACTTTTTCGTTTCACACGATTTTTCTCCAAGACAAAGCTCTTCCTTTAGACTATCAGTAATCATTCGATAGCGTTGATTTAAGGATTCAAACGCTGTGCTTATTTTCTGGGAAGGCCGTTTTTCTGCAGTGTAACAAGAAAAATATGACTGATTCACGTACGCGATCATGTGTTCTTTGGCCAATCCACGGGCCGCGAGGTGGGGCGACAAGGGGGCTGGCGCGATCATTGATCGCTTTTCACACGTGGAAGTGCGATATCTGTTATTCAGTTAGGAATTACTTCTCCGCGTTGAAAAAATCCATGATTAAACGTATGACTCTGACACTACAAGCTTTTCTTTACACGCCCATGTGCATTTCGTGACTTCCAGCGAAATAATTGTTGAATTGCGCTGCGGATGTGGAATATGATTTTATTTCGAGTCTTACAGCGTAATAAAAGAGTCTTTTGAGAAAACTGGCCACGTAGCACGCTAGCCAACTTTCGAATAATTACTAACGCTCCTATGAAATGTTCTCGTCTTTGCGAAGACCCGATTTACTCGTTGATTGGACTGTGACTTAAGTGCAAAAAGCCTTGATTGCTCTACATCGAAGTATTTCCAAGTGATTCTTTCATTATTATTTGAGCCAACTTGTCATGTGGTCTGGTAAGTGCTCTTGTACAGCCCGATACATGTGTTTCGGTCCTTACAGACTCGTCAGTCGGGCAGAATCCGTCGTCTTTCGATATTTTCATAGTCAGTTCTTTCGGGAGCTCTGCTCCCTTACAGAGAGTCATCAAAGACGAGCGTATTACACTCTATTCAAAGCGAAATTTTCACCTAACAGAGAGCGTTTGCGCATTCGATTGCTTTCCTTTATTTCGAGTGCTTTATTAGACCACGCTCAAATTTCAATAGATTCTTTCATTATTGTTTGAGCCAACTTGTCATGTGGTCTGGTAAGGGCTCTTGTATATTATGATAAAAATGCCATCCAAGAGCAATCGAGTGCGCAAACGCTCTGTGTTAGGTGAAAATTTCGCTTGACATAGATTGTAAAACGCTCGTCTTCGAACTCTCTGTAAGGGAGCAGAGCTCCCGGAGAACTGACTATAAAAATATCGAATGACGACGGGTTCTCCCCGCTGATGAGTCTGCAAGGACGAAACACGTGTATCGAGCTGTACTAGAGCCCTTACCAGACCGCATGACAAGTTGGCTCAGATAATAATGAAAGGATCTATTGAAATTTGAGCGTGGTCTTAATAAAGCACTCGAAATAAAGGTATAATATTTCCGCGTGATTGTCGCATTTTCCACGATGGTGTCATTTTCTCATCCATTTTAGAGGACATGGACAAAGCAGTCAGTCATTGTAGTTAGCTCTTCGTTGCCCACAACTCTTAGCGTTCTAACGCTTCCGTGATCTTCGTGATTTTGTATTCCTAAATGTCTTTGATATCTATTGCTTCTGTTTTGTGCTTATGACAACGATTAATCTGTATCCAGACGTTTTTTCTATGAACATTTGTTATGGTTATTCCTGTATCTTGCCTTGTCGGGTCTTTCTTTCATACACGATCAATGTAGGCTTCCTATTGAATTGCAAGTTATCGGTGTTTAGTTGATTTCTACAAGTGAGATCGTTTGATCTATTTATTGTTGCTGGATCCAAGTCGAGTGATATTGCAATGATTTTTTTGATTTTATATCAAAATAAACGTAGTTTCATCGTAGTGTGTCTAGTGCGAGCATCGTGTCAATTTCATTCATACTGCTTTTGTTATCAGCTGAAATTCGTTTTCTTTTCAATAGTTCTGTACGACAGTTTTTTCCTGTCCTGTGTTAACACATTGGGGACCGCTGGCCCACGGTATCAGCCCCGGCCCTCAGTGATGAGTGCTTCGTGCTGGCGTCCATCAGGAAGAAGGTTTCAGGTTCAGTCCCCTACACGACGCTTCACGGTAGTTTTTTTTTGTGTTATCCTTTTCTTTTCAGTATAATATGGCCAACTCACTGACACACCATACACATATCTCATGTAGTAACACAGTAACACAAGCGTTACCACATAGATCTACGTTTTGCCACAAAAACTAGTGAAATGTTGGACAATTTTTTGCTGCTATAATTACGCTATAGAAAACCTTTAATACTAATCCACATCAAGAAATAACACCAAAAAAATCCACAATGAAGCGCTGTGTTAGAGGATCGAACCACTAACCTTCTTCCGTGATGGACGCCAGCCACGAGCTACCGCCATTGCGAGCTGCTCGCGGCCAAGCCGTCGCATGCGTGACAAGGCGGGGCTAACGGCGTGGGTCAACGGTCTCCAATGCGTTAACCGCTTGACTTCCGCGGACCCGAACTGGGCGTGTCCGCTAGCGTGGGATGTCTTCAATTCCACTGCCCCGACTAGTCATCGGCTACAGTACTACTGTTCGTTGCAAGACAAGGACTAAGTTTTGGACTGATTAGCTTTCGGTCTTCTAACGAGAACTGGTACAGTAGTTGGCGTCCTTGCGACGCCGACAGACACGCCCAGTTTTGGGTCCGCGGAAGTCGGTCGATTATTAGCTATCGAGGTGGGTATTCGAATACCTATACAGCGTTACATGGTAAGTTGGTACATCTCCTGCTCTTACTCCTCTAAGATAATAAAGGATAAAGCGTTGAGTTGATCGATCCGATGTATGCGCCCATATTTGGCATGTACAATGAGCGATTTCAACTCAGTTCTGTTAACGTCCTAGGCCAAAGTCTTGGCGATGGCGAGCTTAGTGAAGCCATAGCCACCGGATTAAACTGGGACCATATGTGTATTGCACATCTCTAACTACTGTGCTAACCGTCTTCCAGAGATGTGTTAAGGAAACCTGGGTTCTTCACCGTTTGGTAGCACAGATGTTCAGAGCCTATTCCCTGCGCTGGACCAAGAAGTTTACATGAAGAGTGTTAGTAATCATTCGAAAGCTTGAATCTAGAGCTAGTGCTGTCCGTGGCTGCTTTTAGAAGCGACCCTTTTATAACGCCGAAAAATCAAAAACAAAATTATGTTTCACACGCGCATATTTCTCGCAGTACATAGCTTTTTCTTTACAATATTAGTAATCATTCGACAGCGTAAAATTTGCCGATCCCGATGCTATGCTTATATCCTGAGAAGGACTGTCTGCAACGCAGTGGCGAAATTAGAGGTGGAGGATAGGCTTAAAAATCTCTGTTATTAAACGTAAAAGTACCGAAACATGCTATAGACGGTGCTTTATTGTCTCGATTACTGCCGCATTCCACCGTTTCTAATCCTCAGGCGAATTTATACTAATTTTGTGCATTAGGCAATTTGAGGCGCAAGACAGCTCCACTCGAATATCATATGTCAGATACCTTTTTCGTAAATGATTCCTAGCTTAGGACGCTGAGTAGTATGCAATACATCTCGGCCCAGGGGCGGGACTAGAACCAGCATCTCACCACACCCGGAGCTCATGCTACCACTACAGCACCGAGGCCACTGATTCGCTATCACTCACTTTTCTTCCGAGGTCATCACTCTGCTACCACCTTTTTCCTGTATAAGAAGGATTAAACACAAATGTTTTTGTAGATCATCCTAGTTTTATGCACTCATGACCCAAGAAGTCATTGGTATTTCTCAATCACTTCAACCGCTTCGGTACCAGGGATCCAACTCCCTGCGTCTCTAATCCTCAGCGTGTTGCGTCTAACAGTGTCGTCGGACCTCAGCGCGCCATTGTTAGATGCACCATGCTGCATTGTTAGTCGTAATTGTCAGACGAGACACGCTGGGGGTTAGAGACGCAGAAGGTTGAGTTCATGGTGCCGGAAGTGCTAAGGCATGACTTCCAACATTTGTTGAAAAGACGCTTCCGTTGCAAAAATATCTGCAAAATAGATATGTGTGTAGAAATTCCAAGTGATATGACAAGCTTTCAACTTCGGACAAGAGTTGTACCCGCGTCTATTCCTTTCCGAGGTCGCGTGCTAACCACTGCACCACCGGAGCCCTGTTCTATCCTCTTTTCACGATACAAGGTATTAAAGCTGGTAGCGAGCAACCGTAGCGGATTTGGTCTGATGAGCAGTACATATCGGCATTAAACCCACTCAGGGTGACAGCCTTCGGAGCAACCGCGCTTTCTTTGATTATTTAATAGTTGTAAAATTTTTTTTCAAGAATTTTGATCCAAGCTCACTTAGATTTGAGCGGGTATTGAATAGAAATACTGACGATTAAGGCGATAGAGTGAAATCTACATGGCTATCTATGAAACTCGCAACTATCTCGGTCATCACGACCTGCTGATAGCAAAAACAGTGATCGGTTTTCGAAAAGTCAGCATCGGTTGGGTGTTGTCTATTAACATAAGTGCACTATTGATCATGCTTGATTCTTTGCACTTTGAGGGTTTCTCTACGTTTAGAAAGGTTCTCTACTTTTTTCCTCAAGTACTGATTTCGGACTCTTTTTGACATGTAGATTTTATTTTAATCCTTTTTTAGAAACTTTATTTGATCCATCTTCACAGCGTTTTTTTTTTCGCTGTGCAGTCCCATCACTTCCAGCATTCAATTCGTTTTTTTTTCGCCTTCCTCTTTGCAATCTTCGAAGATAGTTTGGCTGTGATGAACCACTGAGACAAATCTGAATGCTTATATGTTTAACGGCGATAGATGAATATTGGACCTTATTTGCTGTACGAAATTTTTTCATAGGAGTGTGAGCAATCATTCGAAAGCCTAAATCTCTGGTTAAAGCCATACATGGCCGCTTTGCGAGAAGCCTTTTTCTAACGTTGTGACATTCAGAATAGAATTATTTTTCCCATCCCACACGTGCTTCCATTTTTCTCACGTGTACAACGCGCGCAACCCCCTGCTCCTACTCCAACGCGTAGATTAGCTGGTATACAAATTCGCCGATTTTGTGAAGCTCGCTCTTGTTTTCCATGCTAGCTTGCAGTGAAGCGGTCTTTATCAGAAAATAAGCACAATTTGGAATCATTGAAACTTACGCTGTCGAGTGGTTGCGTATAATCTGAGGGAAGAGCTCTGTCCTGCGAGGCTTGAAACAGAAGTCTTTCTCTTCCCTACAGCGCTATCAAAAGATCTTGCTCAGGAAGCAAGCACATTTTATAATTCTTCGAGACGTGTACTATCAAAAGGAATACTAGCACTCCAAGGAAGGAGTTTTTCCCTGCGAAATATAAGCGAGATGAGAAAAAAAAACGCGTGGTCGTGTGAAACATGATTTTATTTTGGGTTTTACAGCGCTATGAAAGGTTGATTTGAAAAACCGACCGTATATGGCTCTAGCCAGAGATTTAAGCTATCTAATGATCATTAACACTTCTATGAAAAAATGTTGTCCAGCGAATGAGGTCGAATATTTATTTATCGCCGTCTAGCATAGAAGTACGGAAATTTGTAAAGGTTTGTTGGTCAGCATGGCTTCGTATTGTGGCAGCCGCCGTTTCACGAGTGCACATGTGTTTCGATGTAATTTTCAGGACTGACCTATTATTAGATCTATTGACCCTGGCATTCCTCAATGATTCACATTTTTTTCTCATCTATGAGCCGAAACACGAAGTTGTTTCAACATAATTCATTTGTAAAATTTATGTTTCAAACTGATTTTGCCTCTCTTAGAGCTTAGAAGGATCAGATTGTATAGAGCCCAGTGCACCAAACACCTTCATTACTTTAACAGAAAAATTGTTACAATGGTGGATCATCGTTCAATGTGATCACATTCTTTATCATCACCGTAGCCAGTTGTCAAGATAAATATCCAAGATGCTCACTTAAAAGCGCGTTGGTGCAGTGGTTAGAGGTGCTCTGCGTCGGATACGAGGTCGGTGGTTCGATCTCACGCCTATGATCCACCAAGCCATCCATCCCTCAAGGGAGGAGGGGGGGGGGCTAAATTGGCGCCAGACTGATTTCGGACTTATCTGGATCTGGGAGAATAAGCAGCATTGACTCGATATAGCGGTAGGCAACCGTGAGTCGTTGTAAAGGGCCAGATATGCGCATTGAATCACCTCAAAACGAGACTAAAAATTGAAGACGTATGCATGGCACATCCTTTAGGGATTGATTAACGCCATGAGCTTTATACTTCATCCTTTTGTTGCTGAGTGACATACAAAACTTTGAATCTTAGGCTGGGAATTGAACCCCTATTTCACTCTTTCGGGGGCGACGTGCTAACCGTTTGCACTACCAAGACTCTTGCTCTGCTACACCCTTCTGCGATTGTCGGAATATGGAACTGAAGACATATGTGGTGATGATATTTTCGTGCCAAAAATTTCCACTTAAAGAGGATTGCGTCAAAATTCTTGAGGTATTTGGTACTTTATCTTGCACATTATCGGAAATTAAAGATCCCATGTGGCGACAGCTGCGATACCTCATATATCGAAGAAAGATTGGTGGCAGAGCGTTCGCCTCGGTGGTGTAGTGGTAGCACATGCTCTCGGTACGGGTGAAACGCGGGTTTAATCTCGCCAATGTCGAATATTCTTAGTATCACTCAGCATCCATCGTATACGATTATAGCATCATGACTCTTCTATAATAGCGATTAATCAAGAATACTTGCAGATTAAAGCATGTAAGAATTTTCAAATACAATGCAAAAATGTCGAGTTTTGGTGATATAAATAAGTCGAGGCCTTTGATTTATGTGCTTTTTAGATATCTAGTTGTAATTATTTGAAGCAATTCATATCAATCCTATGCGAAATCTCTTACTTTTAAAGAAGGAGCGTTATGTACAAGGCTACTCCGTTATTTGTGCAAACTATACAATCGTATTTCTTAGTGGTCTTTGGAGGCGGTTGCGGCAATTATCCTTATTTCATTGTTGGTCCTTCGGGACCGTGGACCCACGACCTCTGCATCTTCAGATGGCAGCTCTGGACTGCCTGCTCCACCTCCTCTGCATCTCTAACTCTAGCGTGCCATTGTTAGACGCATCGGTTAGAGTGCAGAGGCGGTGGAGCTGAGCGTCCAGAGTTGCCAGTTAGAGATGCGGAGGCCGTTGGTCCACGGTCTCTAAACGGTTTAGCAGCCGATGCGATCGCTCAAATTTGCAGATTCGTATGGTTTGATGTCGTTAAACTTAAGTAGTTTCAGATATGTCAACTGTAGTCGATCAACTCGTCGATATGGGCTTTGACCGAGTTCGAGTTGAGTACGCATATGAGCAAACTGGTAAAGGTGCACTAGAAGTGGTAAGTCCCTATAATATTTCAATTACATTCGAACTTATTAAAATGTGAATTTACTTGTTCTTGCTTCATTTTGATTCACACTTCTTATTATAAGCAAAGGCACGAGGTTTTTGAGGTATAATTTATCCTAAAAGCTGAAATTTTGCGTTTTTGCCTTTTTCGCAGCGTGGATAAATCATGTTGCCGTAACCCATTCAGCCAAATATCTTCATAACTTCATTAGGAAAGTTTACCAAACCTAGCTTTCAATCGCACCAAGTGTAAAACCATTTTCAACATGCTCACTGAGTCCTTCATCAAGCTGTTCATGTGGAGATCAGTCGGAAAGTAACCATATGGAGTGGGCAACCTCTCACATCAAAGTTTTATAGTACAACAGCAGGTGCGATATCACGTGTGATTACGACATTCCTCCGTGAGGATTATCTCTGAATTATTGTTGTTTCATCTAGAACAAATCCAAATCTTACACACTATCGTCTTATGTTGTTTTGACCTTATGGTGACTTTTTCTTCAAAATCCTCCTCGCTGCGTGTCTGTGTCGAATGCGACCTTAACGTTTCCAATGTATTTTGAGCCGCACGATCTACAAGAGATTAGGTGAACAGGAGACTAGGCAACCCTGTTCCAGCGCTGAGAATACTAGATCTGCATAATAGGAAGTTTGTTCTTCAGTAACTGCGGTTGGGAGAAGGGTCAACGTGGTGAATAGTGAGTGATACAGTGCATCAAAAAGCGAGGTGATGAACAATGGTCTGGTTCGATCTTCTCCTTGAACACTCTATAACAACCAGCCAGTTAAAAGCCTTCCGAGACTGCAAGAAGAGTCGTCTACCAGCGTTTTACGTTATTTATGAAGAAGACGAAGCCATCAAACAGCAGCCGAAGTAATACGCGAGTTTCTTGGAAACGTTTGTGAAGGATCATTGCGTAGAAACGAGTCTTGTACGAGATTTGCTATATCCGCTTAGTAAATCTGTGATGACGATTCGTGTAAAATAATAAAATTAATTATTTATATTAGGTTGCTAGCATATCAGATCAATATTCATTGCTCTGTTTCAGGTTATGGATTGGCTAATAAGTCACGAAGGGGATGAGATACCTCCACCAGCACAACAAACAGCTACAGCTCGTGAATCTGATAAATCGGCGGAGACGTCAGCAGACTTTGTTGAAGGAGGTGTTGGTAGCTACAAGTGTAATGAGTAAGCGGAAAAATGTTAATGTATTTTTTTGAATTTTAACAAAATACTTTCTTTTTCGCTGCAACAAGTTGTTTCGAGATGAGAATGGAATGATGTTTCATGCCGCTAAGTCAGGACATGACAACTTTTCGGAAAGCACCGAGGTGTTCAATAGTACTCATCTTACTTATTCTAGTACTACTTATTGTCAGAAGTTTCACCACTTTGTTGTAATGTATTTTTAAATTATCTCTGTAGACCGTGAAGTTTTTTTCTGTTTAGACAATTGCAGCGCTAACTCCTGAAGAACGTGCCAAAAAGGCCGCTGAACTGCGAGAGAGAATAAAGATTGCTCGAGCTCAGAAAGAGGAGGCAGAAAGGAAAGAAGAGGTATCTATTTCGTGTTCTTCTTCACGTAGTTATTGATTTTTTTACATTATGGTTTTCCTATACCTGTCCAGTCCATGTTCGTTCATTCATCAGATCGAGAAGGAGCGTCGTCGTCGTGAAGAGGGCAAGAAAATGTTGGAAGTCAAGCAGAAGCAGAAGGAAAATGAGTTAAGGTATAGGTATTAAGGCTGAGTCCTGATCAGTGGCAATTTTTGGAATAGTGAAATTGAGATAGTATGACTCGATTAAAACATAATTTTGTGCAATCCTTTCTCTTAATCCATTTTTTTCAACCTTTAGGGATAAAGCTCCTTTCGTTTTTTTCAGACTTCCAGTAGTCTTTTCAATAGCTGGAATCTCGGCGATTTCAGCACTGTACTTTGTTTCTGGAAAGGCTTTCTTAATGCGCTGTAACAATGGAAATAAAATTTAGTTTCACAGACGTCGCGCATGGAATCGTACTGTGCCCAACGATCTCAAAGTCGTCGCTAATCTTTTGAGACCATGGACCCAACCCTTTGCGTCGCTAACACGCTCAGCGTGTAGCATTTGAGCTCAATTCTAGAATCATCATATCTTATGTTGTCAGATAATGCTAAACTAATGAAAGACCATCTAAATCATTAGAGCAAAAAATCCGCGTCAAATGTGAGGCGTGGTTCTAATCTTCGCTAATTCAGCGCTCTAGATGATTTGAAATAGAGTGGCTATCGTATTGAAATCATCGAGATTTGATCTATCGAGTAATTACTGAAATTCTCAAAAAAAGCGGAAGACCTTGTTTCCAAGGGGTTGAATTGAGATAAAGGATTGAGATAAAGGAAGTGCATTCAAAATTTTGTTGAAGGATTGCAACTTTTTATTCGGTAGGCTATAGTTTTTCGCGAATTTGTTGACCAGCAAAAGCCTAATTGTTGACGACTCCTCAAAAATAATTGATTCTTGTGCTGAAGGAGTGCTACTCAGATGGCGAGAACTTCGGTGAGCCCGGTTTGTGAGAGAGTTTTGTAACTCAATTTGTCGAATTCCTGTACCACTCTGATTGTACTGGAAATCGATGTTTGACCTCACCTAGTGGGTGTACACCACAAATACGCTGTTTATCGCTACGTTTTAAATACTACATATTTGGTTCGGTAGCATGGATGCGAATACTCCTACTAAGTGGTAATGACAGTGATGCCTCCATCAAGAGCACGGTGCTAGTTTGACCCTGTCCCGACCTCATTTATTCAATGTGGGGAATCTTATACTAAACTTCTCTATAAACAGTTTTTTTCTTGAAGTCCATACGAGAGCTTTCCATTGCGGGTGTGCCAAGATTCTCGGGGATATCGACTCAACCGGCGTTCGAAAACATCTTTTCAAGGAATGTGGAAATCCTTAAGTTACAGTCAGACTTTAGGTGAACAGTCTGGTAACGTTCGTGGAAGTGCGGAATTAATCGGTTTCGTACAAAATTTCTGAAGAAACGTTCCGATAAAATTGGTTTTGCGTAATTTCGATTGTGCCACGGAATGGAAACCCTTGATTTTTAAGATATGTTTGACGGATTGGTTGATATACTGCGTTTAGCGTCCTCGGTAGTCGTACATTTGCCATTTTTCATAGAAGAAGTCTTTGAGCGACAGAATAAATGGATTAACCTCTATACTATCAACATCCTACCGATGATACCTAGTTTCGATTTTGTTGCGGAGTGGATGTCACTTATTTTCACTGTCTTCCTTCTGTATACTGAACTACCGAGTCATTAGAAGAACACTAGGAAGACTTTTTGTGCACCGTAATAAAACTAGTGGAAAGATTATGAGACCTTGAGGAGCATTGGTTCTTCTGACCTTTTGAATATTTTTCCTCGATTTCTAGAAATCATAATCTCCTTCGATGGCTATCGTTAAATGCTGATGGTCTCCATCATTAGCATTTGTTTTTAGGACGAAGGTTTCCGAATTTTGTGGCCAATCAACTTATAAATAACAGCAACAATGTAGGGAGCAACTATTTATCACGAAATATCTCTGTAAAGTTTATAACGGCAAAAAAGCGGCCATTATTCATTGCTCAGCCTGATACAGCACTCTTTTCTCCTACATTCTTGTACTTTTTTATACACATTCGATGATTATCTGAGGCCAGTTAGGTTATTCTTCTAGAGCCATGGCAGAGGAACGCCGTAGGGAAAAACAAGAAGAAGCTGCTGCGCGGCAGAGGGTCTTGGAACAGATTAGGATCGACAGGGCATGTTTGTTATACTATTAGATTATGAAAACGCGATTTACTAATGATGCATAGGTAAATAGTCGTGAATTCTGGATCACTGACGATTAAAAATAACATTCTGGAGAGATCATTGTTCCAAACTATTATTCTACGACAATCTGAAAGAAGAAGATCGCTCAGAAACCTTTAC